TTGTGATCACTATAGCGATTCGCAGAACAGTGATTCCTATGGGGGAATTTCACTGGACAATGTTTGGTCCCTGCTTCGCAAACCGATTTTCGCTAGACAACGATTTTGACAGCTCCCTCCGTGCTCACAAAACGGGTGTTTTCAGGACCTAAGCTTCGCAAGACAGCAATTTAAACAGCTGATCGGCGGTTCGCAAAGTGGCTTTCCTATGTCCGATCTTTGCTAGACAACAACGATTCTTCCCCATTGGAACGCATTAAACAGGTTTCAATCCATTCCAATGGTCAAATGCTTTTTACTAGACAATGATTTCGCTAAACAGTGATTTCAGTGGAACGGATTATCATCATCTAGTGAGGCACCACTGTAAATATATATATTTGGCACATTAGAAGTTTCCAACGGACTCTCCTCTTCTGCTCTTTGAAGAACAGTCAGTCGTGCGGAAGATGGAGCTGGCTTGTTTTTCGAGGACTCACCAGAAGTAATGGATTCAAGTTACAGGAAATGAGACTTTGACTAAGTGTTGGGAAGAACATAACAGTGAGAGTTGTTGGCCGGTGACATTGACTACCTGGAGGGGTGTGTGTGTGTGTGTGTGTTTGTGTGTGTGTGAAGGCTGGCGGAGTCCCCTTCATTTGAAATTTCCAAGCAAAGGTTGGTTGGATGGCCACCTACCAAGCCATTCTTTAGCTGTGGATTTCCTGGACTGGTAGGGGATTGGACTTGATGGGACTTGAGGTGCCAACTCTTGCAATCCTATAATCAACTTCCAACAACAGGAAATGCCATAGCGTTAAAACCGCACTCGCAGAGCAGAGCAGAGCAAAGTCTGCTGCTTATATACGGCCCCATAACTCTCTGCGCAATTTACAGGTTAATTATGCAGGCTACACGTTGCCCCCAACAAGCTGGGTATTCATTTTACAACCTCGGAAGGCTGGAAGGCTGAGTCCACTTCCAGCCAGCTACCTGAGCCTGTTCAGGATCAAACTCGGGTTGTGAGCGGAGCCTTGACCGAAGTACTGCAGCTTAACCACTGTGCCACGAGGCTCCTTACAGAGCAAACCCTGGAGTAACCAAAAGTTGTGTTAAGTCATTAAACTGAGACAGACAAGCCTTACTCCATGGGAGTAACAGGAAAAATACCAGTAAAATCAGTGTAGAACCCGATACTTTCTGAAGAACAAACACTTCCTCTATAGAAACCTTTAATTGTGTTCATGCAATGGTAAGGTTTGCCACTGGTTCTTTCGAATGCTGAAAGGTGGTGAGAAACACACACACATTTAGGTGACGTAAATTGTGGCAAAGCCATTGCTAGTGGCTGTTGTGATGTGCCGCTTTTAAATCTATGAAGACTCCCAAAGGTCCTGTCGTTAAGCCTTGTTCGGATCTTGCAAGCTGAAGTTGTGGCTCCCTTTATGGAGCCAGTCCGTCTCGTATGTGGTCCTCCTCTTTTCCTACTGCCTTCAGTTTTCCCCAGCATGCTTGTCTTTTCCAGTGAACCTATCTGATTACAGTAGGGCTCGTTAAAACAAATCTTCAGCAGCTTGGCACCCTCCAAAAAAGCCGGACTGCAACATCCAGCATGCGTAGGTTGGGCAAACGGGAATAACCGTCCCAACACTTCTAGCTGTGGAAAGCTACAGTAGTTTAAAGAGACATTCTATTTATCCTGTCTTTATTGCATTTCTATTGCAAAGAGCTGGAAGCTGCTAACAAACATAATTAAAAATGAGTTAGAAACAGATTAAAGGCAAATTGAAAATAAATTGAGCAATAAAACCAATGAAGTCACCCCATTAAAAACTGTTAAACTCACCCATATAGCCCTTAGTCAAAACAAGTTTGAAAGGCCAGCTTGTTCTTCACATGTTCTTCACATGCTTCTTAAAAGCCTCAGGATCAGGATCTAGTTACAGCTTCGAGGGCGTGCCTTCCAAAGTCTGGAAGAAGAACGCCCTTCCCCTGCATACTCTTTGAGCAGATTTGCACATGACATGGGGCTCTTGAGAGGCAGGTTCGTAACAAAACCAACAGTGGTTCAATAGGTATGTCCAAAGCAATTAAGCGCTTTAAAGGTTAAAACGGACAGCTTGAACTGGCCTTGGAAATCCAAGTTGCACAGGCACAAAAAGGTCCTTTAATATTGGGATCATTTCAAGAGTGTGTATAAGTCAGCAGCCCAGATGCCATATATTACCCCCAAGGAAGATCCGAGGCCCTCTTCAAGGGTAGCCCCATGTAGATCGCATTGCAGTAGTCAAGATGCCATGTAACTAAAACATGGATGACTGCTGCCAGCTCAGATCCATCTGGGAAAGGCCATGGCTGGAGCACTAAATAGAGTGACCCCACCATATGGAGTCCAGAGACTGACTGTTCAAGAGTCACGGTGTCTTTCTCAGACTAGGAATGTGACCTTCAGAAAACCAGCCCCTGAATGAGACTTTCGGCTGACCAGCAGCACCTCCACCTTACCAGGTTTTAACTTGAGGTAAGCTCACTTTCATCCAGCCTGTTATGAAGCCCAAATAGCCTTTGTCGTTCTGGACTACTTCCCCGGTGTGTGTTTGGTGACAAAAAGCAACAGAAACAGGCATCATCGGCATAAAGGAGAGACCACCCTCAAAATGGCTTCCTTTTCAGTAACTACACAATCGGCATAAAGAAGAGAGTCTTGTGGGTCACCATAGTCAAAAGCCATGGTGTCATACCAGGATCCCCAAACACTTCTGAGTTGCGACTTCCTTTATGCTAGACTAACGAACTTCATTTCCAGTATATGTCATTAGCACCTCTAAAAGACGCCAGGAAACACTGGCAGAAGGACTTCACCAACGGCAGGAGTCGCCTGTCAGATCAAATGGGCGAAGCACAATGAAGCAACCAGGCGCTTAAGCGCATCAAAAGGAGAGAACAACCTGGCTCTGTCTTTTAATGGCTGTTAAGTTTGCGACTGTACACTTACCAGCAGTTGACCCTCCCTGTAAAAATGTGGTATTTAGCAAAAGTAAACAAAAGTCAACTTAGCCTTCCATGGGGCCATTTTATTAAAATTTGCAAACAGTATTTTTAAAAAAAACACATAGCCCAAAACGCTCAACCAATGCTATGGAAACTCATTTGTATACTCACAGTTAAGGTGCTAAGAATACAAAACTGAATGGGACACGGGGTGTACTGTAAACAAGAGAAAAATCTAAAAAGGAGCTTAGTGCAAGTAGAACTGGAGTGCCACGAGCAGTCGCTTCCATGCTTTGACCCAAGCGGGAGCTGCTCGACATGAACCTTAGGCATTAAAAAGCATTTATCATATTTCAAATAGTAATAACAAAACCTGAAACTGGCCGGAGAGGTGTGTACTCGTAGTTGCCATCAGTAATGGGGGAAAAGAAACCATCGCGTTGATCAGAGGTAAACCATTCTGGAGCAGATTATTTTTAAAAGGCCCATAGCCTCATGAAAATACATGAAAACAAAAATGGCCCGCACTGGTAAAAAATACTGGCTTTTCCCCCCTGCAACCTTAGGTTAAGTCTTATACTGGCCAGGAAAAAGTCCACATCCACCCTGTTGCAGCATCCTAAGCGATGGAGAAAAATGCAGCTTTGCGTGGGACCAGTTTGTGCTTGGAAGGCCAACCTGATTTCCTCTGAGAGGTACAGTGGATGGATTTCTAAACATGACCTAGGAAGCTCTAAGGGAGAAAACCTGGATCATTGGTCTGAATTGTCCTGATTTTCCAGGGAGCTGAAAGAAGGAGCAGGTGTGGGACGGGTTGCCCTCGGATGATCACCACGGTGGCAGAGAAGCCAGAGGTCCCGAGGTCCCGTTGTCAATCGCTGATTCCAGTCTGTTTGAACAATAAAGACACTCTTGCCCGAGGCCAGAAGGGCAGCAGGAGACAGAGAACTGAGCAAGTGCTTTTAAGAGTAAGGTTAAAAAGAGAAGCCCATTCCTGGACACCCATTGGGGGGCGCAGTGGCGTTAGATGACCGCAGGTCCTCAAGCCGGACGAGAAGAGTGAACACCTTTACAAGCAGAGAAGTGCACTCGGAAACCTTCAAATCCCTTCCTTTATGACTGTAATCATCACAGCAGCAAGAACAGAAAAGGAGCAAACTAAAGCCACCCTGCTTCCTACGAGGCTCACAAGAGCATAAGGCTGTGCTATTTGTACCTGGGACTTTTAAAACTAGGGTTGGGAACTAAGAGATTTTACATTAAAAAACAAAACCACTTTTGCTATTGCAATGGGGGATCCTTCCACTTGACCAAACAAGAATGCCAAATCATGATTAATTCCAGAAAACACACACCTACGAAATACAAACCCCTTGACACCTCAATGACATTAGGCAAAAATCCTTTTGGGGTGAAACCATCCTCCTTAAAAGCCAAGCATCCATGAACATGGTTCCTTGGCTACTAACAGAAAAAGCTCTTCGCTTCTCGCCTCGTTTAATCCCTGTTGCCCATATCAAGGCTGGAAGCAATTTGGTTTATCGAGTTAGTTAGGGTTGAGGTGGGAGAGTGAAGCGATGCATGCCAGGGTATGGATCTGACCATGCGTCCACCTCCCCAGAGGCGGGGGAGGGGAGAGGAAGAAAAGAAAACCGGGCAGAGGGCATGGCACAGAACCAGGGACCTTGTCCTCACCTTTCCGTTACGTAGCGTCTTGTCCAAGGGGGTTAGGAGTGTGCCACAGCATCTCCAGAACCACCAGGAGGACCTCCACATCTACTGATAAGAATCAACTGATTCCTGCATTTATCTGAGAACAGGTGTCTGTTCTAACCTCGGCACTGGGCAACTGTGTTCCCCTTGTTTTGGCCAGATACAGAAGTCTTTCGACAGCACCAAGCTCAGGAGAGGCTCAGTCTCATTTCTGGCAGCAGCGACAACATACAGCACCTAACAGCTCAGAGCGCATGGCATCCGTTTCCTACTTGCAACCTGAGCATAACATTTTTTTTAAAAAACCTGATATTTAAAAAAAAACTCTTCAGTACCTAATTTTGTTTAAACTTGCTAGCGACTTTGGGAGGGGAAAAAAGCAGAAAGACTGTCCGAAGCCACAGCAGCGGTGTTGGGAAATGAAGGGTGAAACGACATGCAGAGGCTGGGAAATCTCTAAAAGTGTCGTTTGTTACACAACCTTCTGCAAAACACCCTCCAAACAACTCTTTGCAGTTAACCCTGCGGATCGTCTCGAGGAACCGATTCCATCGTTCATCATGTTTCGTATTACTTTAGCTCCACTTAAAGCATTTTGGCGCCACCAAAGAAACAAGAAGAAGCAAGACGTAAACATTGTTTATGCAGGCAAAAGGAATCATGATGTCATTAGTCACTAAGTTCTTTGGAAAAGGATCATCCTTCTGCCTTCATTATTCCTTCGGGTGGGGGGGAGAGAATGCATTATAAATACTGATGCTGTTTGTAACATGCTCCTTCTGGGCCTGATCACACTGTAGGTTAATCCTGTACTGCACAGCTTCAGATACTCTTTTTTTTTAAATCATGGGATGGATACACAGAGTCTGACCCCCAATCCAGCCCAAGATGAGTGTGCATGGACTGGGAAGTGGTGAAGCTTTACACAAAAGTAAAATCCAGGTGGAATGGGGTGGGTGAAACCTCCCCCACTTGTGCGGGTCCTGCCACGAATCAAGGTACCCTTGATGCCCTCTCTGATGGGCAAGCAAACTTCCATCTGAGGAAAGCAAAAGCTCACAGGTTATCTCAGAAGTTCAGAAGGTTATGGAGTATTATGCAAACTCCAGACTCTCCAAGGCCGGCTTCTTCCCACGCAGTTGCTGGACAAGAGGGCTTTCCTCCACCCTGTCCCCGTTCACCATTCACCCCAACGTTTACAAGGCAAAAATGGTTAGAAGGAGGCCCAGATTCTAACCTCCTATGGAGATGCTGCAAAACCACCAGTTCTGCTGGAAGCAAAGTGCGGAGAGGAGTCCCCGAAACGGCTGCAGACCCTGGACAAAGAAAAGGTCTCACGGGCAGTTGCCATTTTGCCGCCTTAGGGCCAAACTGAAGGGGAGCTGCACGAAATGGAACAGTGTGCACATTTTTTGTGATATAATCCCGGCTGCGAACGGTGAACCGCTGTTGTGCTGTGGGAGGTGGCAAAGAGAAGCGTTAACTTTCTCTCTCTCTCCTGTCAGTTTTGACTAAACATATCCTCTCTAGAGTCGTGGTTTGCAGGGAAATGCCAACCGGTGGCATCTCCTGAAATGCAGAGGGCTGCTTGGGAGGAGCTATTTTCATTTCTAAATTACTTTTACAAGAATATCTTCTCATGGTTAACAGTTGTGTTATCCCCCTTTTTTCCTTTTAACAAGTGCTCGAAGGATCTCGTAAAAGAAACGGCTTGGTCAAAATTCCTTTGGTATTTTTGTGAATAAAACCAAATTTTCTACATCCTGGGGGTGGGGGGGGAGGTTCTTTGTCTCTCTTTGACATTGAGAGCTAGAATGATGAGAGGGACAGAAGGACTTGAACTCCCCAGCATACTTTGCTGTCGCTGCGGTTGCTTCCAACTTATGGGGACCCGATGAATGAATGGCTTGCAAGAGGGCCTGTCTTCAGCAGCCCGGCTCAGGTGTTGCAAACTCAAGCCTGTGGATTCCCGTAGGGAGTCCGTCCAACTCGTGTGTGGTCTTCCTCTTTTCCTAGCACGAATGTCTTCCAACGACTCTCGTCTTCTCAGGCTATGTCCTGAATAAGGCAGCCACAGTTTAGCCACTTCCTAGCATTCTTCCTTTCCCAGGGAGTCTTTCTGCTCTCATATTTGTTCCCGTATGAAACAACAACAACAAAAATGTGCATGGTATTTGTATTCATGCCGTTCACATCTAGTTAGGCTTTTAAAAGCCACTTGGAGAACCCTCTCCCATTACGAAGCAAAGGGACTTGGACCTCACCATGATCCAGTCTGGAGTTGGAGAAAACAAAACAGACGGCTTGCCTTTTGTGGTAGCAACGATGCCTCAGACCCGAAGAACCACTTGTTTTTCCTTTACGTCTTTGAGATTATGCCATGCAAGTAGAAGACAGTATTGAGGAAAGAGCCAAAATCTCTGGAAGAGAAAATAAGGTTGCCGTCTCATTCGTAGATGACAGCATTGAATTTTGGGGGCCTGGCGTGTTGTTTAGCTACTGTACATTGCGACACAGATCCAAAAGAACGAGAGCGCTAATGACCCGTTTCCTAGCAGCAGGCGTTACAGCAGCAGGTGAGGTAGGTTCGAAGCAAACAAACAAACCCGCGCTTCCTCAGGGAAGCACGCCAAACTCTCGCCCATCGCCCTGCCTTATAAAAATCAAGTTTACCTAAAGCGATATGGCCGACGCTTTCTCCAAGGGCTTTACATTTGCATATTTGAGTTATTCGTTTGCATATCATTCACAGGGGTGAAGAAAGACCAAGTCAACGCCTGGCTTGGAACCTGGCTCTGGCACGAAGGCTCACGGGGTGAACCATCTGTACACGAAGCACCTACAGGGTTGGAATCTTAAACTGGAAGTTCTGGGAGTGCGACCTCCATTTCGTCCCCTTTGAGTCCTGAATAGTTTTGAAAGAAGAAGCAAGGAGGCAACAAACAGCTTCACGCCTGGCCCAGGGTCCAAAAAAGTCATGACAGGTGGCATGCAAAGAGTCTTGGGTGTACCTGACAGGAATCTTAGTGCTAAGGCCAAGACTCCTCCCCCCCCTCTTACCCTAAATGGTTTTGGAAAAGAAGTGAGCTTCCCAAGCAGTCTGCAATAGAGATGCTACAGGAGGCCACTCAGGCAGAACCCGGAGCCCTCCAGTCCTCCTGGCGCCACGGGAGTGGTGGTAAAGTTTTTGGCATCTCAGCACCCGTGGCCCGTTTCCTACTTCAGAGGCCCACGTCCAGGTGTCGCATCCTGCATCCGCAGCATCCGCTTGCACAGAGTCCATGAATTTTTTCTGCCCTTGTTCAAGGAGGCAGCCGGCGCCTCGCTGCACAACAGGGATGCTGGAAGCAGTGTGGCACGATCCAGGAGAACTGGACCAGCGGGGATTTTTTTTACTCTGCCAGGGTGATGGCATCTCCCATCTGAGAAACCTAAGACCAGCACGACCCTCGTGCCACCTGCCCCACACCCTAAAACAGGAGTGTTCCCACTAGGAAACGCTCGGCCCGGTGTGTGTGCCTCCTTTGTCCCTGAACTGAGAGTGTGGCGTGTGTGTGGCTTTGCCTACAGCACCCCCAAAGTCGCAAGACCCTGATCACCATTTAAAAGGGGGACTTAAGGGGTTTAAAAAGTCCCTGTCGGTGGCCTTGTTTGGCACCCTTCCCGAAAGGAAGAAGCGATCTTTGTTCTGCCCGTCGTCCCCGTCCTGCGTATCCTAAGCTCACGACAGGAGGCCAGGAGGAAATTTAGCCATTTCTCCTTAAGGGCTGCTGCAAGCCTTGGGAAACATTCCTCCTTCAAATGGCTGACCGATTTATCAAAGGTCCCTGATGGGTCCGGGTGCCCTTGGCCTCTCCAATCCTATCCCAGCCTTTCTTGACATCTTAATAACTACAATTAACCCTTCTCTCCAGAGAATGCCCCAGATACAGCAAGAGGCTGTTCAAGGCACTGAGGCTGAAAGGGGTCAGGAGGGGGGGGGCTTGCAATTTTGTGTGTGCGTGTGCGTGCGTGCATGCGTGCGCACGTGCACCTAGATTTCCATAACACTGTATCCCTAAGGACTGCAAAAAAAAAAAGTACCCAAACTGACCATCTCTTTCATTCAAATTCACCAAGGGTTTTAGGGAGCTACTGGATTCAATTTTGGGTACATTACATGGAACTCAAATACTTCCCCTTTCCCTGTGTAAAGACTGTAATCAAAATAAGAGACTGGAGTGTTTTCTACAAACGTGCAGACAATAGAAGCAGCTAAGGGGGCCAAGCTTTCACATTCTCCCTCCCCCCCCTCCCTCCTTGCAACCAGGCTGAGCCATTTCAGTTGAGAGCCAAGGCCCCTTCGGCAGAGCCTCCCGGTCCATTATCCTTGTGTTGGATTTCCAGTGTAATTGCCTCAAGTCTCCCGCTGATTCCCTACAGATGTCCTTTGTACAGTTTTTTTTTTTGTATGCAACCCACCCTCTGGGGTGCATGAGAACTACAAACTACGTAATTCATTATCTAGTCAAAAACGATGGGGAGAATCACTTTCCCCCCTCCGAAATAAAAGACCACCTTCTACTATCCTGGAGGGAGTGGGGGGGGGGAAGAGCTTTCCACAGGACGTTAACCATTTGCCATTTCGTAGAAGCATAGGGATAGATCAGTAACAAAAAAAAACCTTAAAAAGATTCAGTGGCTGAGCACGAACCATGGCCAAATAAATAAAAGTCATACCGAGGAGTTAAAAAAAGGCGAGTGTCAGTCGGCCATTCGCTTGCAGATTCGATCCAGCAGCTTCTCGCTTAGAGGCAAAGATTGCTGAGAACATTTGCTGGCTAGGGCACAAAGCAGAGCCCAAAGGAGAGTTAGTACCTGATCTGAGGGGGGTAGTAACACTGAGCTTTTTTGTTTTGTTTTGTTTTTGTTTTGTTTGTTTTTTGTTTTGTTCTGTCACGAAACCAGTGCTGCTCTGTGAAAACCAGGCGGAGGGAAGACGAGAAGTGCCGGTCAAGCGCTGGTCCCGTCCTCTTCGATCACCCGGTTCATGCTGGTGCCGTGGGTGATGTGGGTCACCGGGTTGCCACTGAGGTCTCTGGTGCTGCTGTGGCGGGACTGGTCGTTGAGTCGGTGGGAGCTGCTGTGCCGGGAGTGGTCAGTCAGTCGGGACATGCTGCCATGAGGTAGCCGATCTTCGATCCCACGGTAACTGCAGGGGGTATACCTAATTCATA